CAAAGAGACTTGTCTCTTTGGTGCGGCGAATGGCAAAACTGACTAATGATGCCGACTACGATGCCGGCGAAACGTATGAGAATGTATCAAGTCCACTGTCAGATGCTGGAAGTCATGACAACTACTATGGCAGACGACTTCGGACTCGGTGCGTTCTACATGGTCGCCTTGACAACAAGACCAAGTTGCGACAACGAGGTCAACCCACTTTTATCAATCGAAAGGAGACTACGACCACACCAGAGGCCACAACATCTTGGTCTTCATATATATTCAATAGGGACTGGATAGTCGGAGCCCAAAATTCAAAGCAAAGAGGTTTCGTCAAATGGTGGCTTTGTCGAAATACCAATTCCTGCAAAAATATGTACTGGGAGGCGTCTGGCCTGCCGGTGTCCGTTGGCAGGCCTATTCGAGTAACGGAGTGGTGGTAAGACCGCCTGACACTAGCAACTACGATTTCCAGTCCCGTTGGGGATGCGGCTAAAACGGATGCGGGCTCGAACCTGAAGATCGGCCATGATATGACAGGTTTGCGAATGTAAAAATGGTATCGTAAAGCGCCTCGTGGGTGTTGCGTGGCCTTGAAATGCGAGATGGTTAGTGCTCAAATCTTAGCGGAAGTGGCCCAAGGTTTGGGGTGTCATTCCGCTTTTCCAGCGTCAAGTTGGTATGACGACCATGTTTCGGCGTCCTGCTTGCTCCGGCCGCGTAGCCGTGATCGTTTATAGTCGTCAAACTGTTGACTTGCTGACCAATGCCGTCGGTGTTGCTGCGAGTGTGAATGGTGTGTTGAACAAGATTAGCAATGACAAGAGTGCGAAGAAGCAGGCCGAAGAGGGGGGTAGGCGCAGAGGGTGTGGGGCTACCTACCGGGGGTGGGGGAAAGGCGTGAAAAGAGCGCAGCACCGTGGCCCGGCGGCTCCAGCTTCAGCTCGACCCGAGGCGACGACTCGTCGTCGGCGTCGCGCCGTGAGACGGACTGGCCGACCGGGCAGTCGGGCGGCGAACCGGCCAGTGCGGCTTGGCTTGTCGGCCCGGGCTCGACGGCGGGCTGCGTGTTGGAGAGGCGGCGGCTGAGCAGTTGCAGAAGATTGGTCGACCGCGTCGGAGGTGGTGGCGGTGGCGGTGGTGCTGGTGGTGCCGGTGGTGGTGGTGGTGGTGGCGGTGGCGGTGGC